GTCACTGCAGACAGGTCATCCCGCAGCAGTGATGGATGGCTTTCATCAAGGGGCCCATGGGCTCATTGGGGAAATGTAGTGGATACCACTGCCAGAGGAGCTGATATTTATCTACCAGAAGCCCTCTAGCTGGGACAGCGAAAGACGGAAGAAAAAAAAATCAACTTTAGTTTGAAACTTGCAGAATATTGGTCACTTCTATATAGTAAAAATGAGATTTGAAACTGAATGTACTGTGCAAATATGAGACCACAGATAAGCACAATGAAGCATGGTTGCAAGGCAGAAGCAGTTTTTATTACAACATTCCTCCCAGCAGCCCTTGCTGAACTAATCTAATCGTAATGGAAACATTCAGAGATTGAAATGAAACCAATTAGCAGAGGCACAGCTGATTTTAAAGCACTGATTAAGAGAGATGTGCTGTTCTAGTTCTAGGATCTATTCCCTCACTGCAGACCTGCCTCAGCTTGCACTTCCATTAATATCCCATGAGGCACTGGGGCATACTCCTGGCCAGTAGCCAGATTCATAGTTATCTATTTAAACAATTCTGCAAACTATTTCAGAAAGAGAAAACTAGCTGCACACATAAGAACTGTTGTAATTAAATCTCTACCATTTAGTAACTGAAACCTAATAAATTAGCATGTTTTAGCATGTTCATGATAAAAAAAATCTGTCATTTTGCATATTGTATATTTCATGATTTAACAATTAACATTATTTCTATTATTATCATGACATTGTCTATTTCTTTCTGGGTTAATATTTTAGTTTAAAATACAGAAACAGGTTTTTGGGTCTACTATCTATTAAGATGCTAATCAGGCAGGAACTGCCGATCAGGCAGTGACAATGATTGCACCTTGGCATTGTGACATTTCCTTTTATGGTTGTTTCTGGATTTGTTAGTGTGCTTTGGGAGAAAACTACCGTCTGCATGTTCTGAGCTCTGTTTCTGTAAGCATTTTTGAGCGCTCGCACCTCGATGAAGTCAAATTAACACGCCACTAATTGCAGCTGCTTTCAGCAATCCACAATTTGCAAACTTGAGATAAGAATGATGAATATATGAAATATCACATTTCTTTTAGGGCTGTAAAAGAGATAAAACAGTGAATTGTAAAAAGTATAATAAATTGCCTCGTGATTATAATATTATATCTCCCTGCTTTATCAGATATCAGTGGAGTTACGCAGACACCAGTGCTATCTGCCATGCATTATTATTATTAGGGTTAAATTAATGTGACTCTCCTAAGTATAGCAGGCTGTTTCAAAGTAAAATTAAAATGCAAAGAAGTCGTCCGCGCCAAAAATATGTGCATAGGTTAATGAACAGCACACGAAGAGGAGTCTGAATCCTCCAAAATTAAGTTTCAGCCACCTACACATGCACAGAACTACAGTCACACAAGGACACACAGCCATACACAGTCATGGACAGAAACAGGGAGCTGTGGGATGATAATTAAGGTAAAACTATATTTATATTATTTATTTATATCGAGTAAATACACAATATGAAGTTCTATATTTTTAATAATTACTTTAAATAAATAAATATATATATTGTTTTTTTCATGTACTCTAATATCTCAGAGTTGAAGTAGTCCAGATGCAGTTTTTGTGTTGATAACCACATTAAAGTACTGACCGTTCTGTATACTATTATCTGGTAGTTTCTGGTAAAATCATGTTTTGTTTGGCAAAATAAGACAATACAAAATAATTGGACTTCTATTGCATACTTTGTTGTCAAATGTAAAGGTATGTACAAATTGAAACTTTCATAAATAGGCTAAAAATCAATTAAACGTCAGTGAATATTCATTGACTCTGACACGGTCACTTTGCCTCGGGCTGTGCTCACCACACAGTAGGAACTCAAAACAGAAACACAAAGTACTCAAGTGTATTTTAACAACCTGCCCATCAAACCTAATACCTCCGTCCTCTTCCCTGCAGCTTCCAGGATATACATTTAGACGAGACATATGCAGAGATAATTGGAGCATCTTTTATTTGATTCAAATTTTGGGGAGGGTGAGGATCATCAGCTGAGTCGCTCGAGAGTCACAAGAATTCTTATTTAATCTGTCACCAGGACTTTTTTCCTTTCTCATTTCCATTTAAAAATTACAGGGCTGACAGTTGCCAGCTCTGCTGCCAAAGGCTTTAACAGTTCTCACAATCAGGCGTCTGCCAACCACCATTTTCAGCTGCTGACAATAGGGCGCAGATAAATCCTGCCACAGCTGCCGCAGCTCTGCGAGGCATTCTTAAATAAACAATCAGGGCAGTTGGGTAACAATAATCGATGAGGTCTACAGAGCATTGATCATATGGCAGAGGAAGGATCGGCCTCCAGCAACAAAAAAACAAAAAAAAAGGTAGTAAAAAAACTGTTCATTAAAATGGTTCTTTGTCTTTTCAGATATTATTGGGGGTTTTTTTCATTGCACTGTTCTTGCGGCCACTTCATTTGCAGCTGTTGAAATTGAATGCTGAGTGAATGAGTTTGTCTCATCAGATATGATGACCAAGGTCACACTGTGGTCTGAAATGATCTGCAGATCATCCAAGGATAAAAACATGGAAAATGTTATTTGTTTTTCTATTTGAGTGTGTGTGAATGTGTATGTGTATGTGTCTTTGTATGACATGTAAACGATGACAAAAGTAACAGTTATAAATGTTATAAAGTTAAAATACATACGCCCCGTGATCCACTCTGTTGCTTAAATCAGTCAGATCTACAGCTGTTTCTCCATTGGTTGATTTGATCAGTTCTTCTACAGTGTAGTACAAAACAAGAACCAGCAGGAGGACAATTCCTGTTGTTGGTCTGTGAAACATGGAAAGTATAAAAGTATAAAATAACAAATACTGCACAACAGGCAGTTCATCACTATATCTTACTTAAAAACTGGCAGATATCAAATGTGTAAGTAACGTACCGCTCACCTATAAATATCATATTATGAGGACAGCAGTAAACACATAGGCAGCTGGGCTGGTATCTAGCCTCTGACTGTTAATAACGGAAAGTCAGTCGATCGCGTCTTGACTCACTGGTATGATGATGTGTTCACCTTAGTCAAGGTGTGAACTGCAGGGAGTTGTGTGAGTCAAGTGGGTGGTTGGTATCACCTGAGGAACATCCTACAGGTAGAACTGAAGAAGCCTTTTGGATGACAGGTTGAAACAGAAACAATCCAGTCGCCCACATCTTAATAGCTTAGAGTAAAAATGACCTGGTAAAAACATAGTTTAAGTTGTTTAGCAGGAGTGAGAAAGTACTTATTACAAATAGAAATGTTAAAAAATATGTTTAATAATGTTGTCGTGACTAAAAGAAATACTATATATCAATATAATTACTGGTGTGTATAAGGTCAAGTGTACATTTACAGTTTTAGCAGATGCTTTGAGTTAAAGAGTCTGATGGCTCCAGGCAGGAGTGACTTCCTGTGGCGCACCTCGGTGAAATAGGTCTGTTGCTGAAGGTGCAGCAGATCATGGCGTGGATGTGAGTCACTGACCAAGACAGACCTGAGCTTGAACAGCATTCCTCTCTCTGAGACCTCCTTCAGAGAGTCTAAAACAGAGCACAGGCCTCTCCGCTGCAGCCTCACTGCTTTCTGAAGAAAGGTACATTGTGTAGGGTTTTTTAAAAAGAGATGCTCTCTTGATTTAAAACCTCAGCTAATGTTTCCTGGTGATCTTAAAGACTTCTGGGCAAGTCTCCGGATTTCAACTATAAAAAGATTGTAAATTACAATTAAATTAATTAAAAAACGAATAAAGAAATGTGACAAGGATGGAAAATGTGAGAAAATATGAATGATCTGTAGGAGCATTGGCAGGTTTCACGTGCGAGCGCTGGCCTTGTGAAAGAGCTGAATCTGACAGAGACTCAAAGTGGGTGACCTATGCGTCCTCTGGGAAGGTCACTTGAGGTAAAGACTAGCACGGAATGAGAATGATGACAGAGAGGGGGTAAGAAAGAGAGAGATTTTACTGCAAACAGGCTGGAGGATTTAATCACAGTAAAACACTGAACTCTTATTGGGGGTATCAAAACATTTTATGAGTGCAGCTGTGCCAGAACTGTAGCGCCACAACAGTGTCTCCTTCCAGGATAAATCATCAGCCGTCCTCCAGATCACCTTACGTGCCTCATTTAAGCACCAACCCCGGTGCATCTGGCAGAATATATCTGTCAGATAAGATGTGAGGAAAGGTGGGTGGCCCTTTGTAAACTGACGATATAATGACATTTATGCTTCAGGTTCTTTACACAAACAATTACTTCGACAAAATGCACAGCAATAGAAGAATGAAATTGCAGGTTTTCACAGATACTGTAGTAGCGTAGTACGCAGTAATCTCTTTCTCTTTCTCTAATCTCTTTCCTTCCACAGTACCAGTTGGATTTACAACAAATCTGCTCTTAATTCAACCACAAAATTTAAATACATCACATCAATTCACACATTTCCTGTTGTTTCCTTTCCACACCTCATGTACTGTATAAGACGTTTTGTTGAATTTGAACGGTGATAATTAGACCACACCAGGGCGATGCTTTAGTTTTGCTTTTGTTCTGAGATGTGGTTCTGACTCATGACAGGAAGTTAGTTAACAGAAGTGTCGTGTCATGATCAGTTACAATGTTTAGCTCAAATGAGAAGTGATACCAAAGTTTTATAAACCAACACAATTAAGTGTATGTTCATTTGTGTACTCTCTGATGCCAAGCATCACTGATAGTTTTTCGGTTTCAATAAATAAATAATACATAAATATATGTGCCAGTTTTTTTCTATTCAACAATCCTATACCAAAGGGGAAATAAAAAAAAAACCCAAAACAAACAAACAAAACAACAATCAAACAAACAAACTCAAACGTACAATGTTGGTTAAGTCAAAAATGCTGACAGGTGAAGTGTAAACTTGTCATTAACTGTGCTCAGGGTTTGTACGTAAAAAAAAAACGAAAAAAAAAAAAAAACCCGGAAAAGTCGTGGCATTTGAACATGTTATTTTCCAGGCTTGGAAAAGTCTTGTTAAAAAAAGCCTTTAAAAAAACAACGTTGTTTTCATTCGGTCACGTGTGACATGCGTAGAAAGGTGCAGGTTAGCTCAAGCGACAACGCGCTAACAACAGCACACAACAATGCCGGGAAAGTTCTCCCTTAACTATGTGTGGCTGCACACAAAGTTGTACGTTTAAATCATGACTAGAGAAGAAAAAGTCAAATCCAAATGTGTTGTATGTTATAACACGTTTGATATCTCTAAAATCGATGAGGCGGCATTGACTAGCCGTGCTAAAGGAGCGAAGCACCGGGCTATCGCGAGCTTTTTACGATCCCATAAGAACCCCTCAGGCGGCCTCTGGTACCGGCAGTTTGCAGCACCAATATCGCCACACCGTCCATGAAACAACGGACTATTTCAAACGTTCTCACCGGCAGTGAAGTGCTAACTCCGGAAATTTTATGGGAGCTAAAGGTAGCTAACTTTTACTTTTTACACATCGTCACGTGAAGCTATAACCTAGCTTTTCTAGGGTGTGTATGCTCATGTTTGGGGGGTATCCTATTTTGTACTTTGATGTAAAGTTTGTGCACTTTAGTTTGAAGTTGTATTATAAAATTATTATTATTTCATTTGTTTATTGAAATTTCAGACTCTTTTACCTTACTTTGTGTAAGCATATTTCTGGTACATCAGGTGTTGGTTTAGACCAGTCATGCCCACACTACTCCACAAAGGGCCGAGTGGGTGCAGGTTTTCTTTCCAATGGAGCTGCATCACACCAGACTTGAGGCATTAAATCAATTGATTTCTGTTTCCAGACAACAAATTGGTCAAACTATGTGCTTTTGGTTGGTTTGAGGTTGACATTGTTGACACAAATGACATGTAAAAGTTAAGCTAAAATGCTTTCATCACTTTCTACACCATCTATTGGGAAACGTGCATAATGCAGGGAAAGGCAAAAGTATAATGATAATATAAATAAATTATATATTTTGGAAAAGATTGGTGGGCCCAATTAAAAACCCCAATGGGCTGCATCCGGTCCCTGGGCCGTAGTTTGCCCATGCCTGATCTAACCTGTGCGGAGCTGGCTGCAGTGAAAAGCCATTAATCAAGTATCAAGACATCATATCAGACATTTTCTTATATGAATACTAGGATTTGAAAAGGGTATCAGGCTCAAAATGGTTAACAGTGTTGGTATCTGTTCATTCCTCTTATTGACACCGGTGCTGCCTTCAGTGTTAACACAAGCCTGGATTTATGAATTTGGGTTTTTAGAGCCATAGTCCCCAAACTACTGTACGTGTGTTTGAGAAGAATCACTCTGTTCTCAGATCAGACTTAACAGGACTGGAATCTGGCCTCTTCTTCTGTTGTTGTTCACCTCTAGTGTCTCTGTAGTGAATTCCAAACAGCTACTCTTCTTGCCACAGGTATACAGTGAGGTTATCTCAGGCCGTAAGGCTCCAAAAAGTCTGGAATCTCCTGAGGCCCTTTTGTTTCTATCAGCAAGGGATTTCTGCCTCAAAATCACCATGGTAATTTTACCCCCCAAAAACCACTTTCACAGGACAGTAGTACTGTAACGGATACACTGTTATGGGCAGTAGGTAGACAGCATTCTGTTCTAAACAAAAGTCTGAAGGAAAAAACAGTCTTGTCTCTTTGGCTTATGTATTTGGATTATGTAAAATCAGAAAGATGTAAAAAATAAAACATAATACGACCGAGAGAGTGACCAAAATAAAGTTTAAAAAAAAATCAGAATTTTTCTCAAATTTTGAATTGTTAAATCTGTAACGCACATAAACAAACACCTTTTGAAAATAAATGCAAAATATTTATTATACCGATTTTTTTTGGTGTACAGTTTATTCATAATCGGTGAGGGTTTTTTTTAAAGAATACTGCAAAAAACTAAACAATACAAACAAACAGTTTTTGTTAGTCCGAACGTTTTGTTAGACACAAAAGAGACAACACCACGGACAACAGCAATAGAAGAATTGTTGCCCTGTAAATTATAAATGAGAACCATGGTTAGAATGTGTTTGACAAAGTACTTTTGGCCAAAAGCAGCAGTAATCAACGTAACAACATGACACGAGACACCGCGCTGAAGACAAACAGCTCTGCAAAGACAAACACAACGACGACACAAGACACGGACGTGGTGTACGTTTGGTAGTTCCCAAGGACCTGTTTCCAAACAAAGAACTCACACTATGTTTGAACTTGCACATATAAACTACAACAAATACAAAAACACATAGGGTACTGTACAGTAAAGGCAAATATGTACAAAACGTTTTATTTGCTTTCTTAACATTTAAAAAAGTAACCAAAAGCATTTTTTGTTTAGAGTGTGCAAATTATTTCAGAAGGTCAAGTTTGACATCACTCACCTTTGTGAACAAAGCATTCATTTGAATATAAATTTTTCTAGTGGATAAGTACATTTTTGAGAGACACAGTAAAGACGAAATGGCTAGGAAACTTGAAGGAATTGCTAATATATTAAAAACTACTTCCAATGACAAAGTTATTTGAAGAATACCTGTTTTTAACTTATAAATTATTTTATGAAATTACAAAAGATGCACTGCAAGAATAATAACCTGTGCTTCCAAATGGAAGCATTTGTCTAAAAAATGTATTTTGCCTGTGTACCAAGGCACTTGTCCATTCTTTAAAAACACACAACACAAAATATGTGTATATATATATAGATATACATATATACTGTGTATGTATATATATATATATAAATATATATATATATATATAAAACAACTATATTACTGATCACTGAGTATTTTATTGTTTTATTTGTATTAACAATTTTGTGTTTTTCATATCGCCATGGTGACCAGTGAATTTTCTCCCTTTATCAATCACATACTTTGAAACTGTGAGTAAAAAACTTTGAAAGTCGTATCTTGAGTCTTTATTGTCCAGATCTTTGCCACTCTGCAAATTTATTCGAATCATTTTCAGACTGTTTTCCTGAGTCACGCCTGGTTCTCTGGAAGCTCACAGTCACCATGAGGAGACCTGTTACCTGGCAACACTCCATGCTCCAGGTGTAACTTTTGTGAAGCAGCTGGTCCCAGGTGAACCAAGTGAATGCTGCCTAGTTTAAAAAAAAAATATATATATATATATACTGTATATTGCTGCAGAGGAAAAATGTGTGTGTATACTTGAGGCAAAAAAAAAAAGTCATTAGGGTTGGAGGGTTGGGGCTTGTGGAGCAATAGGGTTTAGGAGAGGAAATCACCCACAGCCAATTTTCGTCATCACACCTTCACACCCAGTTGATCAGCGTTGAAATAATAAGCACAATACTCTTACGTATAAGCGAAAAAGTTAATGCACTACACCTTTTCGAGGCAGCAGGTGTTCATTTGCGAGTTTTTTGAAATGTGTGTGCACAGGATTTACAGTGGTGTAAATCCAATCACAATATGCTGCTGCTTTGTAGCACTGCACACTCAAGTTGATTTTTAAACAAAAGTCACTGATTTGTATTCAAAGTCTGTGGTAACATTTTATCAGTGTTGCTGAGATTTTTTCACTTAGTCATGAGTGTTACTTGGTAATTTCAGGGATCAGAAACCACAGAGGCTGATGAGGAGGGATTTAATTTAATTTTTGTTTTAATGTTAATCATCTTTAACAAACGGTAATCACCCCCTTTAATTTGTCTGTTGTCTAATACTTCAGATATTATGAATTGTTTTATGTTTAACTTATAAATATGCCTTAAAAATTAACTTTATTACCAAAAAATCTAAAACTATGGGATTAAGGTTGTTTGAACACTGTTTGAGACATTTTCTTGTGCTACTGTCTTTATTCTTGTTACTTAACTTTATTCTCACAAAGTTCTAACTGTATGACTATAATGTCATGATTTTTACAACCTTAATCTGGCAATTTCTGATATTTGTTTTATTGTAAAACTGAAGAAAAAACATAATAAGTAATGTTGAAATGTATATTTACCAAATGTGTATTTAATGAATTAAGTTGTGCATATATTTGGACATTTAAAAGTGCAATAGAAATGGTTATTAAATATATATGATGTAAAACTGGATGTCTTTAATATTAAATAAACTTTCAACACTGTTTTATTTTTAAAAAGCACCACACATTGTCAGTTTTTCTTCAGGTTTAATTTTTGGTATTAAAAATACAATGATGTTTGACTCCTGCAGGTAAACTTGATTCCTGGATCCAAGAGCCACAGAGCGGGAGCAAGAGAGAGAGGGAGGGAGATCGAGAGAGAGGGAGATTCAAGGGTAAGGCCAGGGTAACAGCGCCATCTATTGATCGTACTTGTGTCTTGCTTCAGCAATACGTTTCTACTAATAAAGCTCTCTTGTACTCTGTATGAGATAAAATAATAATAATTAATTACTAATAATAATGACTGTGTTCCCGCTTATTTTATGGATTTATCTATAATTTACTGAATATTTTTTATCCTATAGTAACATACATAAATCACATGTAAAATTATAATATAAAAATATATGTACTAATATAGTTTGTCTTAGTACATCAGTAAATTATACATAAATCCATAAAGGTCAAAATAATAGGCCTGACAATGACATCACAGACCTCTGTAGTTGTTTGTGTCCAGAGGAGGAAGAACTTAATCACCGACGTTGTGTTGTGGTATTTACGGCCAAAGACAACAGTCGATGACTAAACGCTAACAATACTAACTCATTTATGGCAGCTCTTTGATAATTCTGTAATGACTTGCATTTACACAGGTGTCATCGACCTAGTGGAGGTGATATTAGTAGTTTATACTTATTTATACTTCACTTGTCAGAACTGAGTGAATGTCGTTCATGTGACTACAGTATACATACTGTGCTGTAAATCCAGCTGTATGTGAACAACCTATTTGATATCCACAAGTTGATGGCATCACCTGTGTTTTGATACAATCTCAACTCTTTTTTTAATTACTCACTTATAAAGGTTTATCATGGCTAGAATTAGCTTTAATCCCTTTCCGGTAAATTTCTGACTTTAATGCCCTTTTCATAAAATTACATCTCAGTTCTGTTCTTCGCTCATTGAACTTCATTGAACTTCACTCCCCCTTCTCCACCCATCCTCTCTCCCTAAACTCCAATTAGCTCCAAAAAGGTCTCTCCGTTTTTTTCTGTTGTTGTGGAAAAACGACTCCCTCCAGAGTTATTCATTATGTCAGCAGTGAATCAATATGTGCAAATTGGTTTTGACCGAAACCTACAAAGATTAGTGCAGACACATTTTTTATACGAAAAAAAGAAAAACAGTTGGTTTGAGGTGTGTAGGAGCCCCATCTTGTGGTCAGACTAGAACATTGACTTGAAAGCCAGTAGTTTGCATTGTGTATAAAAAATGTATTTTTTTCAAAAATACTTTTTTTGTAGAAATTTCTAAAACATTTTTTGTAAAAATCTTTCAAAAACAATTTTTAAATTTTTTCAACATCTGACCATCTTTTTTTTTCAATTTAAAGTTTTTTCCAATTATTTTTAAAAAGCTATAATTTCAATCTTGAAAAAATGTTTTCAAAGATTTTTTTTTAATTTTTCAACATCTGACCAAAGATTTTTTCATAAAACTTTTTTCTCCATATTTTTTAAAAAGTCATAAATTGATAAGGAATATGCAGAAAAAGATAACATTTTGAATATTTCTTTATTTTCGGTCATCTTTTTTCAACATCTGACCAAAAAATATATTCTAAAGGTATCAAAAACACTTTTTTTTTCTAAAAAAAAATGTTTTTTCTAAAAATCAAAAAGTTTTTTCTAAAAATCAAAAAGTTTTCTAAAAAAAGAAAAAAATTCTAAAAAAATTAGAATTTTATTTTAGAATGTTTTTTTGTCTTGGAGGTCACTTGGACGTGACTTGGACGTTGCTTGGACGTCCCTTCTTTTTCAAAATTTTTTTAAATATTTAAAAAAAAATATTTTTCAAAAACATTTTTCCAAAAAAAAAATTTTTTTTCTGAAAAAATTTTTTTTTTCTTGGTGGTCACTTGGACGTCACTTGGAGGTTGCTTGGACGTCACTTGGAGGTCACTTAGACGTCACCTAGAAGTCACTTGGACGTCACTTTGAGGTCACATGGAGGTTCCTTTTTTTAATTCTTATAATTTTTTTTTTTTAGAAAAATT